TTGTATGTAGTGGGCATTCAAAGAATATTTATTGAATTTGAATTTATCCTCTAATTACTTTTTTATTGTAAACCATTTTTTTCTGACCTCCCAACAGAGGTTAAATCTGTTTGGAGTACATGTTAATAAACTTAGGGAGGTGGAGATTAATAATAATAAAGATTATTAGCCTCAGTTTAGAACATCAAAATACCTGTATGTGTTGGCAAATGGTTGTGAGGAAGTGTTAGGATGTGTGTGTGTGTGTGTGTGTGTGTGTGTGAGAGAGAGAGAGAGAGAGAGAGAGAGAGAGAGAGAGAGAGAGAGAATCTGTGTTTCTTGAATATTTTTCATAAGGCAAGTAAACAAATCCTCAAAATCTAAGTTAAATCCATAGCAATTAAAAGCTGAAAGTGCTACAGATGTGTTCTGGGTTAGTTTTTCTTTCAGTAAACATTTGCTTGCTCAACTGACCAAAGAAGTAGCTTTTGTGATGTATCACCACGTTTGCTCTCCGGAAAACTAAGATAGATCAAGTACATGCAGCTGTATTTCCTCTTATGCCCCGAAGGTAGTCACTATGAGAACTATGAAGAGAGGTAGCTGTAGATGAGGTGATTAGTAAGTCCTGAGCTGTAGGAGATTAGAAAGGTACTTTCTCCCAAGATGAATTGCCATATTGCCAATGCTTTAGGGTGGCACTCTTGTGGTTCTAGATGACTTTTATACCCATCCTATGTTTCTTCTTCAGTCAGCTGGTATACTGGGTAGTGCATGTCTAGATTCTTGGTAGTACAGAGTGATGCACACATGGAAGCTGTCCAATTTTTTAATATGTTGGAGTGTGACAGAGAGCAGATACTGGAAGCACTTAGAGAGTCTGGTTGGTGGGGATTTGAGAAGGCAAATAACAGAACAGAAGCACAGTTTGATAGTTTCTCCAAACATTAAACTATTATTTTTTAGTATTGTATTTATTGATACCTTCTTGTTACATAAGGCAGCAAGATTAATCCAAGAAAGCCATTGGATTAGGCGGGTGAGATCAGATTTTCAGCAGGTAGATTGGGATGGATAGGAATGGTTTTTATGAAGTATTCCTGACAGAGAATAGGAGGCTATTATAAAGGAGACACATTCCCAATTTGGAGAGACTAATCATTTGAGTATCATTGTCTTTGGAATTGAGATGGTTGGGAAGAACACCAGGTAAATACAATCATGTAGTAAAACTCTGGAGTTCATAAGTTAGTAGTCTGGGAAACCTTAAATTTAGGCAATAGAAGCCCTCCTCATGCTCTGCTCTCTCCAAATCATTGGGAGCCATAAAGTGGCTGAAAAAATGAAAAAAAAATTCATAGAATTTGGGGAGAAGAGGGACTGTCTTAGAATTCATTTAGTGAAAATTGAATAGAAAAGAGGATGAACCGATTGAGTGAAATGAGATTGGGGGAAGGGAGATGGTGGTGTGGATTGACCATTCCCTTTGAACAGGCCAGAACAGGGGGGATGGTTGTTATATCAACTGGGTAAGTGTGTGCTTATTAAAAACATGAGCGTAAAATTCCAGCGCTCCAGACAAGTGCGTTGTGTTGATCCTTTGTTGTCAGACCCTTCTTCCACCCCACCTCTGGCAACCATCAATATAGCTTTGTCTTTTTAGAATATCATGTTAATTGAATCAAGCAATATAGAAAAGACTATCTGCTTTCAGTATGATGGCCACTATATGTACATTGAAAGTTTTTTTAAATGTAAAGAACCCCCTCTTAATCACTCAAAATGATAAAACAGGGAAGCATCTTAAAAACTAGATGTAGGGAAAGATGAGTTAGGAACATGATGAGATATGAACAGATTTATCTTATGGAGGATTCATTAGTTCTCAGTGAAACAAGGTGGGCTTATTAGCTTTGAGTGCCTACTAGAAAGGATGGGGTAAGTTACTTTGAACTATTAATGTTTTCTTTTCTCAAATTAAACTCCTTCCCTTTCTCTAACTCCCTCCCATCCCCAATCTCTGACTGGCTTCCATAGAGACACACACACACAACCATTTATTGGCATATGAATTTAATCTTTTCTGCTTTTGAACTCTGGTGACACTGCTTTTAGCAATGAAGGAATATGTGCAAAATCCATCTGTGCATATCAGATTCTGACTTTAGCTGTAGCTGAGGGATGTCAGATGACGTGTGTGGGTACTTGATACAATCTAGAGTCATGCACCCACATTTCAGACCAAGATTTTGCAAAATTTTCCTTTCTAACTTGTATAATTTTTCTTCTAAATGATATACATTTAAAAGTTAATTAAAAATGATAGATTCAAAATTATCTTAAAATATCTCATATTGGAGTAAAATATTAGCAGTCATATCTGTCCATAATTCTGATGTTTGCATATGTTTTGTTTTTGTTTTTGAGAGAAGAGTTTGCTGTGTAGTCCAGGCTGATTTGGACTCACTGTGAAGATGAGGCTGGCTTTAAATTTGTGGTGATCCTCCTGCCTCAGCCTCTCAAGTGCTGGGAATACAGGCACACACCACCAAACCCAGCTGTTTCTTTTTTTTTTTTTTTGGCTGTATTTATTTATCTTTGCAAATTAAATTATATATAGAGTCATCCCTTGGTATCCTCAGGGAATTGGTTCCAATACTCTCCAATGGTACCAAAATCTACAAATGTTCAATTCTTATATAAATGCCCAATTTCTTATGTAAAATAGTATAATATTGGTATATAATTTATGCACATCTTCTCTACATTAAATCATTTATAGATTATTTATTATACTTAAGACAATGTGACGTTTTTGTTATATTATATTATTTAGGCAACAATGACAAGAAAGAAAGCTTATCCACTGTAGCTGGTTGAGTCAGTTATATGTAGAACCCACAGATACAAAGGGATGACTGAATATATGCATGTGTGTATGAATGCACATAGACACACTTGTATACCAATGGGTTCTGCATTCATCAATCAGAAATTCAACCAGGTTTGTTTTGTTTTTTGTGGCTGTAATATTCAAAGCAAAGATGGCATTTGTCTACCTAAGAGTAAATAGAAAGCAGATAGCATTTCATGGGATATTTATCACATCCCATAGTTATTACTCTCATCTAATACCTTTGTCTACATAGTGATTTATGTACTCATGTCATCTTGTTGACCTATTCATATTGACCACATATTCTATTGTTATGTGGGGATAGATAGGAGATGATTCCATATACCAAGGCCTGCGGAGGACCGTTAAGCATTTTGTAGCAGGTTACACTTGATGCTAGCATTAAGGGTATATAGTATTACTGTTCTGCCATAAATAGTTATACTACTGTATCTTTTCATTTGTCTGGAAGGCAATTATCTGATATTTTATATACATCCAGAAGTCAGAACATAAGCCCAAAACACCCCAAGGGTAGCCAAAATTTGGTTAAAGTAAATTCAGTGAACTTTATGTCTGTGTGGGATGTGCTTTACATGAATTGCCTTTTTCAATCCTTACAATAATCTTAAGGGATAGTCACTGTTCCTGCTTTTATAGACGAGGAAATTGAAGCTTCTGAAGAGGTTATAGAACATGTTCAGAGTCATACATTTTGTGGGTATCAATCTGGGCTTTCAGTATCGTTTGGCATGTCTGTCATGTCCTCATGCTGAGTCCAGTTGCTCCCATTTCCAGTCATTAACACAGACGTTTTTGCAGTAACAACTGTGTGCCTGGCCCTGCTATCTAGGATTGAAGACAGAATGTTCTGTATAATCCTTTTGTCCTTAAAAATCTTTATCTTCAGTAAACCTGAAAATATGAAGCAGTTTAAAAAAAGAAATAAGGCCTGAGTACAAGAATAATTTCTACCTTGTTAACTGTTGCATCTACAGACCAAACATAGCACATAATCAGAGTTCAGTAAATGTATGATGAATGGATGAGTGAAATTAATGAGAAGTGAAAGCTAACTAGAAAAAAGACTAAAGTATAAAAAGAATATAAAATAGGGCCACAGTGGTTCCACTGCCTGCCTGGCAAGTGCAAGGTCCTGATTTCGATCACCAGTACCCCCCAAAATATAAAATAGAGCCAGGTATTTAGTTCAGTGGTTCCACCACCTGCCTTGCAAGCACAGGGACCCGAGTTTGATCTCCGGTACCCCTCCACCCCCCAAAAAATATATATAGAAAGGCATAACTATCTGGGACCACTTAATGTTTGAATAAACACTTAAATACCTCAGTAGTCCCCTAAGGCATTTCGAGCCTTTTATTGTGCTCAGGATGTCCAGATCAATGACCAGGACTGCTGAGTGACTATGGTGACCCAAGCCCTGTGCCACAGGGAGAAAAATCCCTCATAATCATGACATCCAGTCTAAAAACTAAGGTAGTACTAAGATGTTTTAGAAAATGTGGGCCTTTTTTCCCTTTAAAGCATGCTGAAAGGCTAAACATCAGTGTCTCAAAAACCTCACCCATATGGGCAGGGGATTTAGCTCAGTGGTTCTGCCTGCTGCTTCGCAAGTGCAAGGTCCTGAGTGCAATCCCTGGTACCAAAAAAAAAAAAAAAAGACCAATGAAACAAAAACTTTACCCATATGAAATAGCTCTTTCCCTACTGATATTGGATAAAGGGGTTAATACATGTTTTTTCCCTCCTGATAAATTTTAACATTAAAATTTCATTACAAATAAATTCTTTAAAAATAAAATTATGTTCTTTGAAGATACCTTATAAAGAACTGTATAGAATATATAGCATATAACAATCCATACTACTACAACAACTGAGTAGGTTGCATAAAATGACAAAATAACATTTTTGAGTAATGTCACTGGAAAGAGTTATGATGTGTTGAAATCATGTTTGGAGTATCATTTATCTTGTAAGGAAAAAAGATGAGAAAATTATAGGAAGCTATTGAAATGATTTAAATTTCATTATTCAACAGCATTGATGCGCTACTTTCTTGTCTCAAGAATGTATCTATTAACAGTGACATTTTGCTTTACAGCTTTTCTGGGAGAAGAGGCTACAAGGACTTAGTGCATCAGATGTAACAGAACAAATTATAAAAACCATGGAGCTACCTAAAGGTCTTCAAGGTATTATCTAAGTTTAGTTGAGCAGATATTTATAAGTGGCTTTATAATGGTGCTAGACACTATGTTAGATGCTGGTCTTTGTTTTAGGGGAATCACGTGCCTTGCTGGTTGGCATCCCTTTTGTGTCATAGTAAACTTGGGAAATAAATGAGGAAAACTTGTATGTTGTAGGGATTCTTCTATGTGGTATATTACCTGAGATTTATTTTTTCCATGTAAAAACTGGCTGTAGATTAGGTTTGTCATCCGATTTAATCCATGTACTGCTTTCAGCACTGAATGTAGATAATCAACAGGATTTCCCAAGCTTCCTGCTTACAAGCAGCATCTGGTCCCAACATGTGTTCTTTCTCTTATCCTCTTACTGAAAAAACTATTTTCCTTCTGCCCCTCCTTCCACAAAATACTGCCATAAATAGCAGTGGGAACATGTACTTTGGCTCAGCAATAGCAGCTGGTGGGATCTGGGGTGGAGAACTCAGTTAACAGTCTGCTTGTCAAATCACATGGCAAACCAAGTTCTACAGAAGCACTATTTTTCAAGTGTTAGAACTCCAGTTTTTAAATCATGATATACTGTTGATTACTCAAAAATCCTCACAATTCACAGTAACATTCTTATCCTTTTATATTTTTGGAAATTATTGCTTTAACTAAACAAGTTTAGGACTTTAAGCAATTCATTTAAATTTTATGGTGGTGTCAGTCTCTTGCAAATAGTCAAAGTGTGCAGTTATTCTTGATATTATGTATTTGAAAAAGCTGTTAAAGCCATAAGTATAGCATGTTTGCATTGAATTCTTGAAGCAATATAAGCATTGGGATACTGCTAGAAATAATTTTAAAAGTTACAAAGAGAAACTATTCTAAAGAGAAACAAGATGAACATTGGATATGGCTGGATATATATTTTAAAAATCATAAAGAGAAACAATAGGGATACATGAGCATAATGCCTTTATAAAGCACTTATACTATTAAAATAATTGACCTTGCTTGAGGAATGTGGCCAATTTTTCAACAGTTTAAGCTTGTGAAAATGTATTTTCAAGTTTTATTAAAATGCTTAGCTTTTTGTGACAGTTTCTTTAGTGTTAATTCTCTGCTATATAATATCTATTAAGCAAATATGACATTATCCTTTGTTGCTTTGGCTTGGGGTTAATTTTAAATATATGATGACAATTGAACACAAAAATACTGGTTGTCGTAAGTCTCATAAGGCTTGCTCAGCACATTGAAATTTTCCTTTAAGAAGTACTTCTTTTTTATTGCAGGAGTTGGTCCAGGTAATAATGATGAGACCCTTTTATCTGCTGTTGCCAGTGCTTTGCACACGAGCTCTGCACCAATCACAGGACAAGTCTCCGCTGCTGTGGAGAAGAACCCCGCTGTATGGCTTAACACATCTCAACCCCTCTGCAAAGCTTTCATTGTCACAGATGAAGACATTAGGTAAGCGGTTTAACATGACTTTAAAAAGCTTGTTTTTTGCCTGGGGGAAATTTTATACTACCCATTAAGTTCAACATCATATCTAGTATAGGTTGAGCATCCCTAATCTGAAAATCTGAAATCTCGAATGCTTTAAAATCTGAAACTTTTTGAGCTCTGACATGATGCCACAACGAAGAATCCCATGCTATGAAACTTTTTCTTGCACACAATTATTAAAAATATCATATAAAATTACCCTCAGGCTGTAATTAGGTATATATTAACCATAAATGGACTTCCTGTTCAGGAGTGGGTCCCATCCCTAAGATAGCTCATTGTACATATGCAAATGTTCTGAAATCTGAATAAGTCTGAAATCCTTCTGGTCCCACGCGGTTCTGTAAAAGGTTCCTCAATCTTTAAATGATGACTCCACCGGAAGTTACGTTTTTCTTTCACAGAGCTTTTCTGAAAACAGTGTGTGTGTGTGTGTGTGTGTGTGTGTGTGTGTGTGTGTGCGTGTGTGATAATCTACTTATTATAATGCACATTTTGAAAAAGTAGGGGGATCATCATGAGCATGTCTGAAGGACAGATCAGTTGTACACACATCATTTTGTACTGTGTTTTGCAATTTGGGTTTCTGAATTTCTGCTGTAAGGATCCCTTTTTACTCAGTCATGTTTTTTATGATTGCTTCCTTCATTGGTTTGTGTGTAAACAAACTTCCCTTTTAAAGCAGATGATAGCCATGCTTCTTTAAGCTCAGTAATGTTTTCAGAGTTTAATTTAGTTACATTGATGATGTTTACTTCACTTCAGCTCAATTTAGAGATTTATCTATAAATAGAGATCTATTTCTATTTCACTCTGTTTCAAGTAAAGATTTAAGGAGGCTTTGGACACACACACACACACACACCAACACAAGATGAAAAGCAAGTGAGGAAAGCTAGAGCAAAGAGTAAAACAATAAAGTACCAATGAGAAAAAACCTAAACTGCATCTGTTAAAATCTTTTATTCTAAAGCTGAGCCACAAATTAAGTTTTTAGCACCAAATCATGAAAGGAAAACATCCAGCTCAGATTGATAATACCCTAAGGGTATAAGCAAAGCATTGCTCAGGAGAAGCTACCTATTCTGGGTAGTAAACCACAAAGACATTCTTGTCTAGGATTTATGAACTTCAGGATCATTACTTTATAATGATGATGATATTGTAATATATTTTCTTTAAAAATATGACTGTGTATATTTCACTGTTCTTGTCTTCTGAATGTAGGGCTGGGATTTAGCTCATTGGTTCTGGTGCCTGCCTCCCAAGTGCAAGGACCCAAGTTCAATCCCTGGTACCAAAAAACAAAATCTTATCTTCTGAAAGTAAATCAAAGATGTACTGGAAAATTATTCCCAGATAAAACCAGCAGATGGCACTTATGAATCATACAATTTAAAAATAATTTCTATTGGTATTTTTCCCTAAATCTATACAATTTAATATAAAATATTTCTCATTGTATGAATCTAGCTAGATTTATAATTGGAAAGCCCCTCTTGGGTTTTAAAGTAATTCCTATTGCAAAGATGTAAAACAATTTAAACTTGTATTCATATACCTTGATAACATGGAATTTCCGATCAACTTTATTTTTAAAAAAAATAAAATAAAATGTAAAACCAAGGGAAGCTAGCTCTTTGGATTGTTCTTACCCTTTAGGAAGCAAATCACTTGGGAGACAAATTCTTTTCTATCTTGGAGTGAGTATGGAATTAGCCTGGATTCCACCAGGTCAGTATGGGTATTGACTGAGGTTCCCTGAATCATATGGGAATGTTGATGGCTTCATACAGGTGGTCAAATGGGACCTCTAATCCTTTTTTTTTTTTTTTTTTTTTTGGTACTAGGGATTGAACTTGGGTCCTTGTGCTTATGAGGCAGGTGGTGGAACCACTGAGCTAAATCCCCAGCCCCTAATCCTGGTTTTTTGAGGTATCTCCGTATTGATTTCCACAATGATTGCACCAATCTGCACTCCCACCAACTGTGGAGAAGGGTTGCTTTCTCCCCTCAATCCCACCAGCATCTGGTACTGGTTGATGTTTTGATAGAAGCCATTCTTTCTGGAATGAGATGGACCTCAGCACTGTTTTCATTTGCATCTCTCAGATGGCCAGTGATGTGATTTTTTCACATTTATTTTCTGTTTCTACTTCAAGTCTAAGAAATGTCTGGTTCATTTCAGATGCCCAGTTTTGGATTGGGTGTTTAAATGTGGGAGTCTGATTTTTTAAAGTTCTTTATATATTCTAGATAGTAGACCTTTGTCTGAGGAACAGTTGGTTAAAAATTTTTCCCACATTGTGGGTTGTCTCTTCACTCTGTTGGTGGTTTCTCTTGCTGTGCAGAAACTTTTTAATAAGATGAGGTCCCAGTTGTTGATTCTTTGTGCTAGTTCCCGTGCAATTGAGGTTTTTGTTCATTAAGTCTTTTCCTATGTCAATGTCTTCAAGAGTTCTACCTAACCTTTTTCCATTAGGTTTTGTGTTTCTGATTTAATATTTAGATTTTTGAACCATTTCAATTTTAGTTCAGTGCATGGTAAGAGAAATAAGTCCAATTTTAATCTTTGGCACATTGAAACCCAGTTTTTTCAGCACCATTTCTTGGAGAGGCTGTCTTTCCTCCTGTGAAGGTGTTTGACTCCTTTGTTAAAGATGAGGTGGCTGTGTCTGGAATTGTTTCTGCATCTTCTAATCTGTTCCACTGATCCTTAGGTCTGTTTCTTTGCCAGTACCATGCTGTTTTTTATCACAGTAGCTTTGTAGTATAGTTTCATGTTTGGAATTGTGATACTCCTTTTTTTCTTACCTCAAATTACTTTTGCTAGAATTTTTAGATTGTTTTCTCAAGTTCTGTGAAATATGCTTTTGGAATTTCAGTTGGGATTATAGTGAATCTGCAAAGCAGTTTTGGGAGTATGGCCATTTTCACTATATTGGTTCTTCCTATTCAGGAGCAAGGGTTATCTTTCCATTTTTTTTTTGTAGTAAATAGATGTTTATTTCTTTTTTCCCCCATTAAGTTTATTGGTACATTTAAAGCAAAAAAATACAGTTACATTTATCATTGGGATCTTGTACCTTTACATGATATGTCTTGGTTCTTGCTTTTTCTCCACAACCATGCCCTCCCTTCACCCTCTTCCCTATTTACAAAGACTTTGTTTCCATTTTTTTCCTTTTTTCACATATTTCCTTTCTTCTCCCCTACACACTTCCCCTTTAGCCATTTTCTTCCTATTTCACACTCACAATTATACCATTTGAACCTTATTTATACTTTTAGTTTTTCACACCAGAGAAACTATTTGGTATTTACTCAAGTGTGTCTTATTTATTTCACTTAAGAGTATAGCCTTAATGTATATCCATTTAGCTATAGAAGTTTCTACTTTCTCATTCTTTATGGCTGGGTGGTACTCTCTTTTATAGAAAACCAATATCTTCTTTATCCAGACTCCAGTTGATGGGCATCTGGATTGTTTCCAAGTTTTAGCTGTTATGAACTGTGCCACTATAAACAATGGTGCAAATATATCACTGTGGTGTGATTCTTTTAATTCTTTTGGAAAGATACCCAGCAGAGGGATAGCTAGGCTAAATCCCAGCTCTTTGAGGTATCTCCATATTGATTTCCACAGCGGTTGCATCAGTATACACTCCCACCAACAATGCAGAAGTGTTCCTTTCTCCCCACCATCCTGCCATCAGTTGTTGTTAGTTGATTTGATAGCAGCCATTCTTTCTGGGGTGAGGTGGAATCTGTATTGTTTTCATCTGCATCTCTTGAATGAACAGTGATGTCAAACCTTTCTTCGTGTGTTTATTTGCTGCTTTTATTTCGTTGAGAAATGTCTGTTCATTTCAAATGCTAATGTTTGAATTGGGTCTTTGTGTTTAAGGGGGTATGAGTTTTTTCAGTTCTTTATATATTCTAGATAGTAGTCCTTTGTCTGAGGAGTAAATGGTAAAAGTTTTTCCCCACTTAGCAGGTTGTCTCTTAGCTCTGTTGGTGATTTCTCTTGCACTGCAAAAACCTTTTAATACAATGAGATCTCAGTTGTTGATTCTTTGTGCAAGTTCTCGTGCTGCTGAGGATTTGTTAATAAAGTCTTCTCCTATGCTAGTGTGTTCAAGAGTTCTACCTAATTTAGTTTTCCAGTAAGTTTAATGTTTCTGTTTTGATATTTAGATCTTTAATCCACTTGGATTTTAGTTTAGTGCATGGTGAAAGATAGGAATCTAATTTTAATCTTTGGCAAATTGAAAGCCAGTTTTTCTAACACCTTTTATTAAAGAGGCTATCTTTCCTCCAGTGAGGCTCCTTTGCCAAAGATGTTGTTTCTGCTCTTCTGTTCCATTGATCCTTGGGTCTGTTTCTTTGCCAGTACCATGCTGTTTTTATCACAGTGGCTTTGTACTATAGTTTTAAGTTGGGAATTGTGATACTCCCTGCTATGTCTTGTTGCCTAGAATACCTTTTGCTATTCTAGATCTCTTCTGGTTCCAAATGAATTTTTGGATTGTTTTCTCAAGTTCTGTGAAATATACTGTTGGTATTTCAATGGGGATTGTATTGAATCTGTATAGAAGAAGCTTTGAAAGTATGTCCATTTTCACTATGTTGAGTCTTCCTACCCAGGAGCAAGGGATGTCTTTCCATCTTCTTCTATCTCTTTTTTTCATAGTGCTGTAATTTTCAGAGTAGAGGTCTTTTGTCTCCTTCATTAGATTGGTTCCTAGATATTTCATTTTTTTGAATGTTATTGTAAAAGGGATTGTTTCCCTAATTTCTCTCTCAGTGAGTCTGTTATTTGTGTACAAGAAGCCTATTGATTTTTGATTGTTGACTTTCTATCTGGCTACTCTACTGAATCTGTCAATAAAGTCTAGAAGTCTTTTGGCAGAGGTTTTTGGATCTTCTGTGTAGACTATCATATCATCAGCAAATAGTGA